AAGAGTCCCCTGCACCCTTGGTAAACAGGCCCTGTGGCTAAGTGCCCTCACTGCCAGGAGTGCTCCATCCAAGTTTGCCCAGTTGCCACTCCTGGACACTGGCTGCACCTTGTACTGCCTCTCTCTGAGACCCAAGAGCCCCTCCTGGTTGAATGCCTGTTGGTGACGACAGAGCCCCCTTCACCTTCTCCAGCGTAAGAGAAGCAGGTTTCACCTGTGAGTCCTGCTCTGCATGCTGCTACCTGGATTCCCCTCACGCACCCAGGACCCACTCCCACCAGAGCTCAGCAGAGATGCCCCAGCCTCTTGACCCTCAGCATCCTCTCTCTCCTCTCTGGGCTTCTGGGCCCAAGTTCTGTGCTGGGTCTCTATGCCCCTTGAGGGAGTCCTCTCACCGCACACACACTTGCACACTTGTCTTTGGTCTCCTTCTCCTCCACACGCTTTCCTCCCACCCCCTCCCAGCTGGTTTCTGGGTGGATTTGTGCTTGTGGGGGAGATCAACCCCTGTCCCAATGCTGCCAATGTGCAGGCCTGCCTCTGCTCCAGGCCTGTCTTCTCCTATCCAGATCGAAGTCTGGTTCGCTCCATCTTGCAGCTCCTCAGGAATCATAACCTCCAGCTCCCCATGGCTCCAACAGAGCCGTTCTCCCCACATCCTCCCCTCGGTCACCAGGACATCCCTGTCCTACCTGTCATATTCCACCCTCTCTAACTCCTCACAGCCAGGCTACATCTAAATCTGGCAGGCCTTTCCCAACTGCCCATATAGCCCACGCTCCTGTCCCAGCTCTCACTGCACTGCCTTCCCCCAGGCCTGCGGCAGCACGGCCCTGCCCTATGCATGCCCATCCAGATCATTGCTGCTGCTGCAATCACACAGACTGTCTCCCTGAAGCCTTCCATTACCCCCTGCACAACAACAGCAACAGCTGTCTGCACTCCTGGGTCCATCCAGCCCACCTTGACTAGCAGGCAGGAGCGCACCCTGCCAGTCTCCATCCACCCACTCACTCGACAATCCAATGTGCACCATTGGGGTTGCCTCTCATGTGGGAAGAAGCTCCCTGTGAACATCCAGAGGCCGCCTGCAGCTCAGTGGAGCCCCCTTCCATGAACCATTCCCTCTTCTGCCCACTTGTAATGATCCAGGTCTTTCTAAAATACTTGACACCACATCCTCCTCCTCTTAGTCCTCTGGAGCTTCCCCTGTGTTCAAGACTCACTGGAAACCAACACTAGCAGCCCAGAGAGCTTCTCCTGCAACGACTCGAGGGCTCCTGGGTGCAGGCTGTCCAGATCAGCCAATCGAAACACCACTAGCCTTAGCGGCCCTGGAGCAGCATCCTCCTGCAGCACCACGAGCAAGGACCACAGCTCCTCCTCAGAGGGTTTCTGCATTTGGATTTTGGCAAACGCAGAGCAGGCATGCACTTATGGAGCATATCTACCTTCTCTGCATTACCATTACCAATGGTCCACTGCCACCTACTAACCGCCAACACCACTGCTTTATACAGACAGCCGCTTTCACTCCCCCTGCTAAAAGAGCCTGCTTCTGCTCGCTAATGCTCTCTGTGTGTCATGGTTCTGGGGACTGGAACAACACAGATGTTCTTAACCAGTTCAATTAGGATTTCAGCAGAAAAACATGACTGATCCCTCCCAACTGATTTGGCTCATCCATGTTTTGTGAAATTGACCTGTTTAAAGCACCAGTTACAGGCAAATGGCAGGTTCAGCCTTCATGCCCTTTGCAAGCAAACGTCATCAAGTCACGATCACCTGAAACTGAACACCTAGCTCTGACTTCTGTGAGCGATTCCTTCTTGCGCCTCGAGACTAGGCCCAACAGCAGTAACTCCCTCACATAGTCAGGGGGGACCAGCAGGCATTGGGGGAGTCCCTGCTCCCCCGAGCACTACCAGGAGTGACGAGAAAAAACGGTCACGAGCTGGCAGAGGGTAGATTCAGAGTAGACATCAGGAGGTGCTACTTCACAGTCAGGGTGGCTAGGACCTGGAACCAACTTCCAAGCAAAGTGGTGCTGGCTCCTACCCAGGGGGTCTTTAAGAGGAGGTTAGACGAACACCTTGCTGGGGTCGTTTGACCCCAGTACTTTTTCCTGCCATGGCAGGGGGTCAGACTTGATGATCTGCTCAGGTCCCCTCTGACCCGACCAACTACGAAACATATTGCTCTCTGAGCTTGGGAGATCCTGGTCTGTGGTGCGTACAATGCCAAGGACATCTCCATACACCAGACTTCTACCATGTCACTCAACCTGCACTCCCCTTAAGTGTTTACCTATGCACCAAAGGCAAGTAACTTAAGGAGCCAGCCATCCTGTTTGCTAGCAAAATTTGCTAGGTTATAACAGAAAGCAGCTAGCATCCTGTCCTGCATCAGCTGTGAGAACACTCATCTCAAAGCAACTGAGCTCATTTGCTTCTGAGTATCAGTGACTGAAACAGGGCACAGTACTTCTGACAGACCGCTTCTCCCACTGCCCTTCCAGCCCCTTCATCCTTCCCAGACCAGCTCCGACCTGTAATTTCAATGTTTCACATCACGTCTCTCTTCCCACCAGGGTTCTGCAAAACCACCCAGAGCACTTTTACCTTCGCAAATGAGCAATTCGAATTCTTCACGTTTATTACCCAGGTGCCCGGCACTGGTGCATGATGAGCCAATTAACACATCACAGCATTCCAGTCATGAGGCCAACACAGAAACTGAACAGAAGGCAGGCTTCACACTACCACCCTCCTTTCTTCCTGTCCACAGGATGATGCCACACATGGCCCCAGGGCCTCGTTCCCCAGTCTCTCTGTCACATACAGCAAATGGCAATAGTGGCTCCAGACTGCAGCAGCTTGTTTTAGGACAAGTTGCAGCCCCCTATCTCAGAGGCACAAGGGAGCGCTAAGCTCAGGACAGGCCAGACACACTGCGTCTTCTACAGCCACCCTGGAAATGGACCAGACAAGGAGTTGCCGAATCACGCCCACCCCTTGAAACAGAGGGGCAGCAGCCTGCCATCCCGCAGCATACAACAGGAAGCAGAGCTCAGAGCTGACTTGGAGCTCAGCTAGTGGACTGCACATCCCCAGGGCTGCAGCTTTACTGCTTCAAGCCTCATCCTAGAAGCAACATGCAGTAGCTTCACACGTGTCACAACAGCTTGTCAGCTTCCTGACACGCAGGTCAGGCTCAGCTGTGGCAGACTTAAAGCTCCATTTAACACAACAGCATTTCTCGTGCTTTCCCTGAGGAAGTTGTCAGCATGTGCTCAAGCAGCAGAGAAGACGGACTCTCCCACCAAAAATTCAATTGATCCAACATGCTGAGCACAAGGCTCAGGTGCACTAAGAGCTGCTGCTCTTCCATTTGACTTAGGATGAGTGCAGGGGGAATGCCTCTTGCCCCTGCTAGGCCTGCCATGCTCTAGACTCACCTCCTGCAGATGAGGGTGGCAGGAAGAGTTCAGGACTGGGGCAGAGATGGCAGGGCAGCCAGGGGAGTGAGGATACCAGGGGATGTCCTGGAAGTTCTGCATGTCCTAATGGGGCTGCCTTGGCTGCTCAGCTTCCTGGCTTAGAGTCAATGCCCTGGTACAGAACACTATTACTCTGCTTGCTAGCACAGGCTTCTGGGGCTCCAGCCTTCTGGACAGGGGAGGAACCCGGCAGTGGCACCAGAGCACTGTGGGATGTCCAGTGCCCACTCCCCAACCTCCAAACGTGGGTTTGCTCCCTCTGAATCCCCTCCTGCAGCAATTTGCAGATCCTGACACCAGCCTGTGCCCTGCTGGTCTGAAAAGGCAGAAGAGAGCTCCCCGCACCTGGCCAGGTGGGGCCAGCAGAGCCTGCCTCCGGGGCCGGGCAGACCTACCTGCTGGCAGATGCTCCTCAGGACGTACTTGGCATACACATCCAGGCTGGCTGTCTCTATGGACACTGCCCGGCCACCAGGCTTCTTGGCACCAAGCTCATCATCCATGAGGTCATCTACCCCTCCTGGGTGGGAGAAGCCGGAGCCTTTCAGCTCCGCATCCCCTGAAAGCAAGAGGTGAAGGGTCACCTGATGACTTGCCATAATTACCAGACCTGTCCCACCCCTTGCCACACAACTGACTGCACCCCAGCCAGGGAGCCCCTCACGGGCCAGACTCAGCCCCTCACTGACCCTGCCCCACAGTCACTGTGCAGGCAACGCTCTGCGGGTCCCTGAAGTGCAGAGCTACACCCTGCTCTCCTGAAGTCCAGGCTAGCGTCAGGAACCTACCCAGCACAAACACAGCTTTCAGCACCGCGAAGACTGCTCCATCCACGATGCGGTTCTGGGAGGCTGCCAGCAAGTGGCGGTCACAGGAGGACCGGATGCCCACCGTGGACTTGTCTGCACAGGGAGGAAGAAGAAGGGTCACACCCATTCCCCAAGCTTCCCAAATCATGGGCTATGAGTGCAGCACAGTGCTGGAGAGGGGTCCTGGATCTGCCATTTCACTGGGAGGCAGTAAAATGCCACTGCCTTGGAGGTGGAGCAGTGGGCTCCAAGCTTGCTGCATGACAGACAGCGCAAAGCTGAAGTGTGGGGGAAGCAAAAGAAAGGCTCTGGACATCAGCACAGTGGGCTACAGAGACCAAGGAAACTGTGCAAGGCAGGGAGGAGGGAGCCTGGACCTAGCCAGGGTACAGGCAATACAGTCCTGTGTGGTAGCACATTCTGGCACTGTGATAGGAGGCAGCAGAAGACTTGGCCAGCACCTTCTTCAGCGCACTGGCCAGCATCCTCCCTACCACGGGACCCAGATGCTGGCACTGAAGGAAAAGCATCCCTTTCCCAGCATGCCTGGTTAACCACACCAGGACACAAACAGGAAGGATACCTGGCCCGCTGCCTGTGGGTGCCCAGGCTCCACAGGCACAGTCTCTGCTCACCCCTGGCCTGGGACATGGGGCCCCTGCAGGACACCTAGGGCTGTTGTGCCCATGGCAAAGCCAGGGCTCTATCACAGCACCACCAGCTCCTCCTCCTGGGGCTGGGAAATGCAGGCTGCCCCCAAACCAGGACAACTACTCCCGTGTCCAGCTCACTTACTGCCATCCTGCTGGCATGGGTTCAGCTGCGGTGTCTTAAACAGGTGGAGCAAGATCCGGCAGGTCAGACGGGCCCCTGGCTCAGAGTCCTGTTCACTGCAGGCTGCACAAAGCAAAGGGACCCATCACAGGCGACATCAGCTGCAGGTCTGCCCCAGGCAGCAGACACCAGTGCCACGGCGAGAGCTTGCAGAGCAGGGGGGCAGCTAGAGAGGCTTCAGTAGCCTCCCTTTGGTGCCAGATGCAGGGGGCAGACTGCGGCTTCTGCGCCAGTGCCAACCAGGACCACACTTGGAGGTGTCAGGCTCTGTGCTCTGCATGAGCTTGGCTCTGACAGGCCACACACATGGTGCCCAAAGTGCCAGGTGCTCAGCTGAGTCTGAGCAGGGGCTTGGGAATCCAGGCCCAAGAGATGGCTAGATGTGCAGTAGGGAGAGCCAACGACACAGACAGCAATGGGGCAGCGCTAGGAGCCTGCTGGAGAGGGCAGACAGACACCATAAAAGGTCCTGTGTGGCTCTTGGGCGTTCTTGTCCCAAACTGGCTGCAGGTGCTGGCAGCCAGCACAGCCCTGGTCCCTGGTTACAGGCTGGACCACCCGCCTAGGGTTCCAACGCAAACCCAAGGGCCAGAAATGCTCCTCAGATGGAAGCTGCAATTCTGAAGCAAAGCTGCTGGGCAAGGTGGGTGCTGGCATGCTCCCTAGCTGCAGGCTCAGCGGAACCAGGCAGAACCATGCCCCATGCTCAGTGCCTGGCCAGACAGGGCAGGACTATGGGAGACTGAGTGTCAGAGTGATAGGGCCAGGGCCCCATGCTGGGGCAGTGAGGGCTCCTTTCAGAGGCCATTTTGTTATGCCAGCGCAGGGCATGCCTGTGGTAGGCAACCTGCTCCCCAATGAGGTGTCTCAGGACCCTGGAGGCTTGTGCTCCGAGGAGCACTGCCTCTCCGCAGGGTCACACTCACCAGCATTGAGGAGTGAGGGGATGGCTGCACAGCGGATCAGGTCCTCCAGCAGCAAGCACTGACGAGCAATAAGAATGGCAACAAAGGTGGCCAAGGAATCGTGGAAGGACAAGTCGCTGACCTGGGGAAGGAAGAGGAGCGCAGCCAGTGACTGTGCTACAGCCCCCACCTAGACCCCAGCATGATGGGGCTCTCTCTGCCCCTCCATTCCCTGGCTATGCCTGGCACTCACGTCGACGTTGCAGAGGAGATCGTTGAAGCCACAAGTGCCATTGTTGGAGGAGCAGCACAGAGCCTTGAGCACGCCCAGCCACTCAGCGCTTAGTGACTTGCAGTAGCCAGTCAGCTCCGCGCACAGGATGGCAATGTCGTTGACGCTGCAGGGAGGAGCCACAAACCAGTCCCCTCACCAGCACAGTGCCAGCTCCCCCTTCCCGCCCCCTCCCTCCACTCCTAGCAGGGGTCTGTGGCTCCCTCCCCCATCACTATGAAGTTCCTGAGACCTGGGACTGCCCTTATGCTCCACCCCACACAGAACCACTGCCTCAGCCTTGCCTGTGCTGCGCCTCACCGGTCAGGGTCATGGTGCCCTACACACACGTGCATGAGGGCATTGCACACAAAGCTGTAGCGGTTGGCCGGGTTCTCATTGAGGCTTTTGCCCAGGTTGGTGTAGGTGAAGTTCTGCGCGGATGGGTTCTCGATGGTCTCGATCATGAACTCGGGCTCCCAAAGCATGTTGGAGTCTGATGGCTCCACATTGCAGTAGATTGTGTTCTTCACCTTGGAGCAGAAGTCACTGGCAGGGGAGGGGCAAGAATGGCAGGTCAGAGGCTCCTGAAGGGACATCTCCTCCACCCTCTTGTGCATCAGGCTGAAGAGCAAGGATGGGTCCCCCTGCCCCACCACCTGCCCTGTGCTGCCAGGACTCCAGCTCATGCACTGCAGCTTTAGGTAGGCTCCTTTCCAAGCACTCATCCTCTGCCAGCAGCTACCAGAAGCGGACTTGGAACCAAGCTGGGCTGCCAGTGATTTCTATGCTCAGCGCAGCCCACTTCAGTGGAAGTTGCCAGCCAGGAACTGAGACAGCAAGTAGCCTGGCACCTGCATGCCCCAGGAGAGCTGGGGCAGGGCACCCTGCTGCACAGGACCAAGGCAACAGCACGCTGCTGGGACGAGCACTGGCAAAACCAAAACCAAAGCTGCTGCCCCAAACTCCCAGAGGAACACCTACTGCGCCCACCCCAGCTCACCTGAAGAGCTCCCCAAATTTGCTTTTGAGGTGGCTGCAGGAGGTGTACAGGTCGTAGAGGTAGGCCAGAATGCAGCGCTCCGCAGAAGAGCCGTCTGAGCGTTTCATGCCGTGCTTCACCACCCCACACAGACTATAGAGAGAAGCACTGCAGTACATGGCACAGCACAGGACAGCACCCAGCCCAGGCCCAGAGACAACGTCCCTGCCTCCACAGGCCCCAAGCGGTGACATAAGTACATAAGAACTGCTATTTACTGGGTCAGACGGTAGGTCTATCTTGCCCAGTATCTTGTGTCACAGTGGCAGAGAGCGGATGCCAAAAGGGAGAGTGAACTGGATCTGACCAAGTTCTGATTTGGAAGCTGTATCCCCCGCTCCCATGCTCGGTAGCTACTGATGCCCCATCCTCTTCCCCATTTAGTATTTTGTAAACCCTCCTCCTGTCACCCAATCAGGTGTCTCTCTTCTAAACTGAACAGGCCTGGCCTCTTTAGTCTCTCCTCATATGGAAGCCCTTCCATACCATTAATCATGCTTCTTGCCCGTCTCTGGACCTTTTCTAGCTGTTCTAATCCTTTCTAAGGGGTCAGAGACGGGGGGACCAGAGCTGGCCGCTGGATTCAAGGTGTGGACGCACCGTGGCAAGGGCATAATGATACTTGCAGGAGCACTGCCCCCCACTCCATGCAGCCCTGCAGAGCTGAGGCTTCCTCTTTGCCTGAAGGGGAAGGCCCTTTACACAGCTGGCTCCCTTACCCTTCAAAGACCTGGGCCATCTGGTCCTGGTTGAGGATGAGGCAGGAGTGGTAGTGCCGCAGCACAGCCACGATGCACAGGCACAGGCTGGTGGTGTAGCTGCCAACCAGGTCGGAGGATTTCAGCAGCAGCTCTGCCTCCACCACGCTCAGCTCGTTCAGCAGCTGCACCCAAGGACAAAGAGCCCTATCAGACCCTGTGTGCAGGTCCAGTATGGGCAGCACCACAGCTATGCCACAGGGACTGTAGGCATCAGGGAACCAGCCACAGGAAGAGGCTCCAGCGAAGCCAGAGGTCTGCCAGCCAGAGACAGCAAGAGGGGCTGGCATCAGCCAGTCAAAGGTTGCAAGGAGGGCCAACAGGGGAGCTGTAAGCTGGGCACGACATGGGCACATGGCTTCCTGGGTACACCGCTGATCAGGATCAGCTGACCCCTGACTGAGCACGGTTCAGTCTCCAACTGCAGCAAACCTCCTGGAAGACAGTCTGACCCAGTGGGCTGGGTTGAGTCTGAACACACTTGGGACACACCAGGCCTACACTCACCGCCCTGCCTTAGCCCCAGTGCTGATGCGGCAGATGCTTTGGATCCCAGGTGGGGAAACCTGCCCGAGGGCAGAGCCTGGGCCCCTAGCTCACCTGGATGGCAAAGTCGATGAGGCCACTGATGTTGAGGGAATACTCCATCAGGTCAAAGATAAACTGCACGTGCTGCACAAGAGGCAGGTGGTACGACATCCCCAAGGCAAAACTGGTGATCTGCTCCAAGACATTGCGAGATACCTGCGAGCAGAGAGCATGAAGAAGCGCCTGCTGCTACAGAGGTCTGCTCAGCAGACCCACCTCGCTCCCTCGCAGGAGGCTGCTCTCAGCGATGCACTGGGCTGGCACAGCCAGGGGCAAGCTGACAGGAATTCTCTGCCAGCACCATACCTGAGAGGTGACTTGGTGCTGGTCAAAGTGAGAAAGGTGCTGGAACTTAGCAAAGATATCCTCAGCTGTTGGAAATGCTTCTGGCTTGCTCCTCTTCCTCTTCTGGCCTTCCTCCCCGCCTGCCCAAGTGGAGAGACCCCAGAAGCCATGACCAGATGCCCCTCCCAGGACACAAGGCCAACCCATGAACCAGCTGCATATACCTGCCAACGGCTTGGCAGGGACCCCTGTAAGCTGTAAAGCACCCCTCACAGGTGTAAGGCACGAGTCTGAAGATGAGGAACCCCCAGTTAGGAATGACAGTAAGGAAGGGGGAAGCCCCCAAGCTAGGCATTCTGACCACACCTAGTTTAGATGCCCAGTAGAGGGGCTTTCCATGGGAGCCTGAGGCTAAGCCTAGAGAGATCAGCTTGAGGCACTCGACTTGGTCTCCAGAGCATCTCTGCTCTCCTTTCAAAGGACCCCTCTCAGCTCAAAAATCGTGTATGTCTGCTGCTGTTTGGAAACTCTGCACTGACAGGGATGAGAGAAATGCAGGCCAGATCCTCAGCCGAGGGGAACTGATGTCATTCTGGGGATGTCTGTGCTGCTGCACTAAGCTGCACCCTGTCCCCTGCTTGGCAGGCTTCCTGGGCACAACAGCCTGCTGCATCTAATCAGTGTCACCACTTCCCCTGCAGTCAGCCAGGAAGCAGCCCCATGCCCTGTGGAGGGGTCTCATAGCAACAGGAGAGGGAGGAGGTTTTAAAAAAAATCATCAAGTCTGCAGAGGCTCAGGGGCAGGCTGGGCTTGCTCAGGACCTGAGGTGGCTCAGCTCCTTGTCTGAAGCTGACTGGTTCTCAGGTGTCAGCATCCCTTTAACTGGCTCCTTCTCCTGCCTGCTGCTCATTATTAGTGGGAATTAAGCATGTCCAGAACAGGCAAGGGATCAGCACATGGCAGACAGGACAGGGCCTACAGCCTGGGCCCGAGCTGCAGTGCCAGGCAGCTAGACAGGCCTGAGATGCACTCACTTGTCTCTGCAGTGCTCTTCCTGTTTAACACCTTCAGAATGTCTTTGGTTATTTTCTTGATGGCATGTCGGGCATCGTCGCGCTGCTTACCCACCCCAAACAAGACCACCAGCCGCTGGTTACATTCGTGACTGCACGACTCCTCCTGGGAACCCAGAGACAGCAGTATTAGCTGTCATTGCACCAAGTGCCCCCTGCCCCATGTCCAGGCCTCCTTCCCCTGTGAGAGGGTCCAGCTGGGAGGCAACCCTGTGGGACAAGGAAGCAAGGAGCCATCCCAGGAGCCCCCTTAAAGCCAAAGAGCATGTAGCAGTCAAGGCAAGCAGGACTGTGCCCCTTATCAACTCAGGGCTGATGCTGCAGAGCATTGGGTGCATCAGTTAGTTCCATGCTTGGACTGAAGCACAGCAGGGAAACAGGTGAGATGCCAAAGCGGGAGCAGAGACCGTGCAAGCGTGGTACCCAGGGGGCCGTGTATGTCTCCTACCTGAGGGATGGGAAAGTGGGTTGCATACTGGATGTGCCGGGGTTGATCATACAGGGATGCAAGCGTTCCTTCTGCACACTTCTCCTTCAGCAGGGGCTTGGCTTCCTTCTCAGGGTCTGGCTTCTCTGGAGAAGGGCTGGCCTTGGATTCACAGTGCATTGGAGGAGAGAACATCTAGGGAGAGATGAGAGGAGATGAGAAACAGCCATACAGGAGGGACTCTAGATGCAGCCTGATACTCGAGGGAAAGCAAGGAGATACTTGTTTGCCTCCACGAGCCCCTGCTCCCAAGCCTAGGCTCCACATCCCAACCCCTTTCTGCTCACAAGTGCAGCTCTTAATGACCTTGGACAAAGAAACCAGGAACTGCAGGCCAGGACTCTGGGGACAACCACCAGAGCCAGGAGAAAGGCACTGAGTCCCTGGGAGGAAGTAGAAGCCCAGGCACCATAGGTACCTCACTTGCTCCACAAGCACCTATTCCTACAATGGTAGAAAGGGCTGGAGAAGGAGCTTCCTAGGGCTCTCCATTCCTTGCACTCCAGGAGAGTCTCCCTCAAAGCCCTGCACAAACCTTAACCACTGCCCACACCATGGGACACGGGTAACTAAGGCAGGGGAAAGCCTCTTGCTTGAGGCAGCAGAACAGCTCCCTGCTCTGACCAGGAGCTCCAGTTCCACCATCATGCAGCCATTCCAGCCTCCATGCTCTGCACCGTCTCCCAGCCACCCTGAGCAACAAGCCACTCATAGAGCATGGGGAGAGAGGGGAGTGGGAACATACCGAGAAGTCTGTCTTCTCCATGTCATCAAACAGCACACTGGAGTTGTGGTCAATGTCCATGGACTCAGAGAGGCCAGTATCCTAGGGCCACACACAGAGAAGCATCAGATCTCAGGTCTCTGCTAGGAAGCCTGTAACAGCCCAGAGCTCCCTCCAGCAGGGCTGGGCTTGCTACCAGCTCTGCGGCCCTCACTGCTTCCCAAGACCCACAACTCCCGGCAGCATGAGCCCCTGCCTCACTGCTCATCCCCTTTGGCCTTCCAGACAGAGCAGGCTGGGACATGCTGCTGTGGCTACACAGGAGCCTGGGGACCTGGGACACGGCCACTGACACAACTCCCTGCTGCTCGCCCTTGGCAGTGACTTGGAACTTAACCCTTTGCATCTGGGCCGAAGCATGCAGACTTAGCCCCGGGACAGGGAGTGCAGCAGCCATACAGATGTGCCTGCTGCACAGGGGCTCCAGATCCTACAGGAAGCTGTGCAGGGGCCTTACCTCCAGCTTGATGCCGCTGCTGCCTTCTGCCTCCTTCCTGTCATGGTCCTCAGCAGGATCGTCAAAGGGCGAAGGGGGCCGGGGCCCATGCGAGTCCATGGCGAGGTCGCCGCGGGAGATGAGCGTGCACATGTAGATGTTGTGGGAGAAGACGTCATGCCGAATCAGCTCGCAGAACAGTAGCACCAGGTTGAAGAACTCCACCTTCTCGTTCTCGTTTCCGGGGTCCGCTGAGGGTGGGGCACGGCAAAGTAGGGCAGGTGAGGCTGTGGGAGCTCTGTCAGAGCTCCCCCTCCAGTGCTGCTCCAAGCAGCACTGCCACTGCCAGCCCCTGAACCATGAGGCTGCAAAAGGCAACCTCCCTGGAAGGCTAGGAGTCCCATGCAGAGGTGGCAGCTGCAAACCCAGGCTCCTCTCCAGGCAGTCTCAGGATTGGAAAGGACCTGGTGCCCAGCTGTCATGGGCAACCACCCCATGGACCCTTTCAAACCCTAAGCAAGCTCCACCTGGAGGCTCCTCCTAAGTTAAGGGGAGGCAGTTCCAGACTCTCTGCTACCACCACCTTTGAATTTCCCGTCCCCATTCATTCCAGGCCATTTACATGCATTTGGGCTTGAGCCTGCCCGTCTCCTAGTGTGAGGCTTCTGTGACCTTCCCATATCTGACTCTCCAGGCTGCCCACTCCTCACTTGTGAGGGAGCACAGTTGCTGCATCCAGGGCAGGAGGGGCAGGCCATGGCAGGGTTGTGGGAGAGGGAAAAAACACAGACAGTCCTGGGATCTCACTGCATACTTAGCATAGGAGCCTGAGTGTCCAGGAACTGCATGAGGACGTCCTGGAAGACAGGGGCACTGGCTGCCGAGAGTGAGCCTGACGAGATGGAGCCCTTCTCATCCACAACTTCGGAATCCCCACACCTCTGCAGGGACAGATAAGTACAGACAGCTGCCCTGGGGCAGAAACACTGTACCCCATGCCCAGGAACAGACCCCATTGCTTGGAGACTCCCCTCCCCACATGTGTGCATGTATATACACAAGCAACACACCCCCAAGAAACCCACTCCTCAGGGCCTCCCTGCGAGCTGTGGTGTGTGCCTCCAAGGAACCTAGCACTTCTGGGTGCTCACACTCCAGGGCAAGCTCACACAATACTAACAGCACTAGTGCCCATGGGCTTCGCATGGCAGCCAGCCTCCGCCTTTTCTACTGCAGCCTGCCAGCCTCCACCCACCAGCTGAGGAGACATCAGTTTCCTGCACAGCTTAGGAACCCTCAGTAGATCTCTTTAAGTGTGGGAACAGGCAGGTACCTACCCTCTTTTCACTGCGTCGCTACTCCTGGCACCCAGAGTGGACAGACTCACCTCAGCCTCGATCTCTGCTTGACGTTTCTCCAGCAGCTTGGCCACCACCATGGCCCGGTGGCGACCAGAGCGCTTGTAGCTGACTGCCCACTCACACAGCAAGGCCACTACTGCATCATCATCAGGGGAGATCTGCTCAGACACAAATGTGATGCTGGGCCGAGCCATGAGCTGGCTTGGGCAGCCGGCACACAGCAAGCAGCTGACCACCTACAAACCAAATGCACTGGGAACTGGCCTGCCATCTGCTGCACTCCCCTCCTCCTAATTCATGGAGGATGCACCCAGTCAGAGCTCCCGTGCGCATCTCCACACGTCAGTCAGGCACGTGCTCAGATGCAGCAGGTCTCTCATCCCCAGGTAACCCTCAAGGCAGGAAACTCACCTGGCCCTCAGAGACCAGGCTGGGGCTGCTCAGCGCACCAGGCAGTGCAGCTAGCAGGTTGCTATACCAGCACCAAGCCTGCCCAGCTCCTGGGCTGCTTTGGGGGTTGGCACTGAGCTGAAAACCCCTCTCCCACGTGATCATTGGAGCACAACGAGTGCTGCTCAGCTGCAGCAGCAGAGCTGGGACCAACAGCTCGCAGCTTCCCAAAGTAGCCCAAGGTCCGGAAGCCACAGGACCAGTGCAGGCTGCCCATGTACTTATACAGCAACGCCTTATAAAAGAAACCAAAATCCCTCCGGCCCCAGGCAGAGACTGGAGCTGCTCTCTGGGCTTGTGCCTCTTTTTGAGGCACAGGTACCACCTACCTCATGACTGTCTTTGCTTGGTCCCAGCCCAAATATCCTGTTGTACAAGGAATCCAGAGAGTTGCTGAAGTCGGATCTCTCAAAGCTATGACTGTCCAGAACTTCTAAGGTGTGCAGGACACGACCAATAGTGAATCCTGGGGCAGCAGAGGGAAGACAAGGCAATAAAGCCTGAGGGACATACACATCTGGGCACCTGGGAGCACCATGGGAACTGAAGCTGTGGCTGGGAGAACTGGTCCCTGCAGGAGGCTGAGCAAGGAAATGGGATGGATCCCTCTGCACTCCCTCCCTCTGGCCACCAGAAACCCCTCCAGCAGGCAAGTCTGAGAGGACGGCCAGGCAGTAAACTCCTGGGGGCAACACACCTGCTGCAGGGAATGGGGCCAGGGGCTGCACAGCTAACACTGAGTTACCTGCAGTGGTCTCCTGGCACTTGTCAAATGACCAGCGGACCTCCACCGCCTGGCCACGCTCTTTTATCTGCTGCTCGATCTCCCGTAGCTTGGCCCGAACCTGAAGGCGAGGGAGTTCCTTAAACAGGGGGGGAGGGAAGGGGCTGGCGGGGCGGGGTGGGGCGCGTGGCAGGACGGAGCTGCGGTGCAAGGAGCTGCCAGCTAACACAGGGCAAGTCAGCTCTGCCGGCGCCTAGGGTAAAGAGCCTGCCCCTCTGCAGGGGCACAAGGATGTGGCTTGGAGCAGCAAAAGGGAGCTGCCACTTGCACCCCTCTGCCACAACTGCTTGGTCTGGGCAGGGGCTCAGCAAGAAGCAGATCCCAGGACCCCCTCTGAGAGCTGCTCACCTGCTGCGTGAAGGCTGACGTGCCCCCAGGCATGGGCAGGTTGGAGGGGGCAATAGGCAGATGGTCCAGGGGAGAGCCAGTCTTTATCCTACTGTCAGTCAAAGAGTAATGCCAGACCAGGGCACTTGGGCAGCACAGGATGATGCTCTGCAGCAAACAAAGCACAGGCACTCCCATCACCTCCACACCCAGCTGCCTGCCAGACGACTCCTCGAACGGCTGGCTGCTGTCACGCTGCTGTCCAGACCCCACCACCCCATGCAAACACAGACCCTTCAAATCCCAAAGTCTCAAGGGAGGGGAATGGGCCGGGGACAGCCCACTCGTGACAGGGGCCCCCAGCATTTGCTGCCTTGCTGTTCTTGGCTAGACAGGGAAGTGGCCGAGGATAACCCTGCAGGTCTGCCAGCAGCCGGGCAGGATGCCACACCCGAGTGAGCGGGTGCCAGTCCTCCAGGCCACGCATGAGCGTGCGAGCTCCTCCTGCTGGCCTTGACTAGTGGAGGGACGGAGAACCCCATGTCTCCTGATCAGATGTTTTAATGGCTCATCTAGACTCAACTTCAGCCTATGAATCTAGTTCTGCCTTGCCTCCCAGACTCCTGCTACCTCCAGGCACATTCTTCCTAGACCACAACCAAGTCCTCTTCCTTTCAACCGACTTTCCAGTCAGGTAAGCAGCCTGAGCTCCCCGAGTCGCCTACTTGTCTCTATTTGTCCAACGTCCTTCCTGAAGCGCGGGTGGCCCTCCTGACTGCAGCATCCTACTAGTGATCTTGGATGGAGGGGATAACAGGGTAAACAGCACTTCCCTGGCTGAGAATCGATCCTTGCAGGGCTCCCAGGCATAGTTCCCTGGGTGCTGAGCCCCATGACAGACGCGCTTTGAGAGCTGCCGGGTCCTAGCAGATGTTGCTAACACCTTAGACACCACGTCAGCTGCAGACCCACCCAAGCACCAGACGTCTGTGCCACGAATTTCCCAGGCCTACCTGCAGGATGCAGCTGAGGCCGTACACCACGGGGCGGTGCTGGGGGCAGAGCAGCAGGTCACTGAAGGGGCTGGGGGGAGGGTTGCCAGTCGCCGGCTGAGGGGTAGGAGTGGAAGGGAGGGCGTTTCCCGTCTGCGTGGAGAGGATGTGGGGTGGGTGCCCCCCCGCCCCGTCGAGCTGCATGGCGAGCCGGCGCGTGCAGAAGTAGGCCAGGCGCCTGGACAGGTAGGCAGACTGCACAAACTCACCAGAGTACTGGGGGGGAGAAGGAAAACCGTTCCAATTCTAAGCAATGCTAGGGAGCCCCAGCACCTGCCCAGAGCCACCCACCAGACAGCAGCACCTCACTGAGGGCCATGATCTTGCACAGGGCTGGGCTCTCCTGCTGCCCTGGCCTCTCGGGACAAACATCATCCCAGTGGCTTGCAGGCACCAGAGGTTCCCACAGCACCCAGGGCAACATCTCCAAGGACCTTAGTGCATCTAGCCCCAGGCTTCTCAGGTCTTGCTGTGGCTGCAACCAGCCCCAAGAGCCAAAAGCCAATGCCATGCAGGGAGAACACTGAACTCTGTCCATGGGCTAGCTGCCGGGGTGGGGCAGGAGCAATACAAGGAACTGTAGATCTACGTGATGAAGAAGCTGGGCAGGAGTCTCTGCTACTACAGGAGATGAACAGCATCCCCCTGAGGTAGCCAAAAGCTCAGAGGAGGGGCAGTGCCCAGATACAGTAATGGCTAAGCGCACCAAGGCAGCCCTTCTTCCACTGGACTCTCCTGGTGTGAGGGGCACTGTGCTCACCCGCAGCAGCAGGGGCAAAAGCATTTTCAGGAACTCATCTTCCCCAGATCGTATCTTCTCGAAGCACTCAAGCACCCAGGTCAGGAACTCATGGCGGTCCAGCATCCCATCCTGCAGGCAGACACAGCAGTGAGAGGGCAGGGTAGGGAGCAATCTGGAGTCACTCACACAGGCAGGGTGCAGCAACAGCTGCTGCTCTCTGTCAGCTAATAGGATTGGTCCCAGAGACTTACGCTGCTCTCCACACACACACATACCCCACCCCAATTCTAGCAGCCGGGCCCAAGGCTGTACCTTGCCCTTCTGGGCCACCCAGGGACACAGGATGTTCTGCAGATAGGTGATGCCTAGATTTCATGTATCCCCTGGAAACCCCAACTGGCCTGACTAGCTGTTCCCTTCAGTGGCTCACCTGGAACATGAACATGGCCAGTTTCTCATTGTAGTCCCACTGCTTCAGAGCCTGCTCCACCTCCTGTGGCATGGGCCCTGACGGCGACCCGCAGCCCTGCCCTGGAAGCTGCCTATAGAACTCAGCAATCTTCTGCAGCTGCTCTGACAGGTACTTGGTGATGATCTGGGTCCACTCTGGGAGGAAGATGACAGATGACCAGTGAGTACAATGGGAAGCAGGGAGGGGAATGGGAGAGAGAAGGACCAGGCTGGTGGGAGAAAGCCAAAGAAGAAAGAACACAGGGGAAGCAAGGGGCAGAAGACCAGCCTGGCCTGGAGAGGGTGAGGAGTTACGGGTGCAGGTTCCAGACTGTGCTATCAACTGGATCTTCAACACAGAACACACAGGAAACATTGTACATGTTTCTTTGCTTGTTTGAAAGAAAACTCTTCCCTGAAGTCTCAGCAATAGGAGGGAAGGACCTCCCGGTCAGCCTGGTTTGGCATCCTCATGACTGACGGGAGAGGGGTCAGCCATGCATTTGTGATGTTCCTTCTCCCTTGCGGACTCCTAGCAGTTGCCCATGTTGGTTGAAGGCCTGAGTCTAGCTTCCAAAGCAAATGGTTTAAACCCAGCTGTACGAAAGGCCATGGTTTGTTCTGCAAAGTGGCAAAGCAGTCAAGCCCCCTGGGGCCCTGCAGAATGCAAAGTCCAGGACAAGACAGCCATGAGATGGGAGCAAAACTCTCAAGTGGGTCCTGCCTGGAACAACACCACCTGTAACAAATCAACTGATCCAGAAGGCAGACTAGAGAACCTGCATGTAGCTTCCATCCCAAAGAGATGGGGAGACATCCCGTGGTGTCCACTACTGCTGTAGATTTGAAAATGAATTTGGATCCTGTGGTGACTGGCGGCAGTATAACACCACACAGGCAGATGTTCCTAGCCAGCACACAAGGGAGATGCTGGAACTGCAATGAGGCCACAAGCATAATCTAGAGGGGCCCTGACAGGCTGGATATATGGACAGGGAATAACAGAATGGGATTCTTCTGAGAAAAATGCAGTTAACCTATACGAAGAAATAGCCCAGCCAAGCTAGACGGATGGGCTGGGGTTACTAACACAGGGATGGGAGAGTCTGCAAACACTGGGCAGTTATAAACACCAAGGAGGGACAGAGCTACATGGGGGAGGAGCACACAAGGATGTAACCAGAGCCATGGGAACAAATCACAAAGGGGAAGCAGAGGCCATCAGGAAACATTCCCTGGCAGCAAGAAGGATTTTCCTATGGAACCACCTGCCAACGAAGCTGTCGGGGCACAGGCGTGCAGGGACAGCACTAGGAATTCTCCAACTGGGAGCAAACCTGGCCCTGCCCTTCCTGGAGAGTGCAAAGGGGCCTAATGGGCTCTTTCCTTACTGATGTTTACTGTCCAGCTGCCAGACAGCAGCATGCTGGGGTGAGGTGCCTGGCAGAAACACGTCCAGAGCTCTGCCAAAAGCACTTACCAATAAAGGGATCGATGACATGTCGCTTTTTCACCTTGGTTTCCGTGATGGCAGCATAGTAGGCACAAGTCATTTTGATCAGCCAGGCTGCGCGCATTACTGGAACAGTGTATTTTGCCAAGTAGCCAAAGACCTCCTCCTTCTTACTAAAGATGGGCACCTGAGACAGAGCAGAGGGGAAAAGAGGGCACCTGAGGGCTCATGAAGGAGCACTGCAAGCCGCACACACTAAAGCCGGATGCCCAGATGCACACAGTACATGCCACACAAGCCAAGGCACCAGCACACGGAATGCATCCAGGTCAGAAACAGTAGCACCAGAGCTGCATTTCAGCACGCTGGCAGGGATTGGACACTCTGGACAGGCTAATCACACACACAGGCTAATCGCCCTAGCCAGGCTAATCACACATACAGGCCCTGCGGGAGGATGAATTATGAACAAAGAAACATGCAAGCACCAAAATCAAAGGCACGCAGCAATGGGGAAGACCGACTACTCCCCTGCCAGGGGGCCAGACAACCTGCAGGCCCTGCCCCACACACACCACTGCTGCAGCACCACAGCTTCCAGCAGGCACCCAGGCCCTGCTTGACAACCCACCTCCACAAGCCTTCTCCAGGTCTGCCTCTTGTTAGGCCTCTCTAACAACACACTAATAACTTTCCTTCCTCTTCCAGTCCCCAAAACATTCCTAACTCCATCATCCAAGTGTCCTCCCTGGAGCACAGAAATACTCCATACTTTGGTGCTGGCCCAGCCAGTGCACAGAGCTTTCCCATAGCTGCAGCCTGCTTTTTACAAGAGAAAACTGGGAAATCACTCAGCCCACTACTTCTAGTTAGTCTCGCAACAGCCACAGCTTGAAAATACTGGAGCAGCAAGAGCTTCCCTCAGCTAAGCATGATACCAAGTAAAAGCAGCAGTAGCAGATCAGCTAACAGCCACTGAAACTCAAACAAAATCTGTGTGTCCACAAGCTGCAAGGCAAAACTGAGTCCAGTCCCTGACCAAGTGATTTCATTTAGCAGATGCAGAGAACATGAGCAGCCCACCCCGGGACACTCCCTCCCAGGGAGAGGGAGCAAATCTCTTTGCTGCCCAGCTTCAGATGTGCCAGCAGCCACACACGTGGGGAAGCAGGGGGTCCTGGCCACACAACACCTGCTGCATTCCCTGGCAGCCTCCCCCACACATACCTTTTTAGCCAGGTGAGTAAGGGGCTTAGTCCCAGCCAGGTCCGTGAACCAGTTGTTTATAGCGCTCTGAGAGCGCGCCGTCACCAGCCAGAAGTTATCCTTCTGGTTCACCTGAGGCTTCCGCCTTCCCGTGTCTGGCAGCGTGTTGCAGCGCAGCTTCTCTGCGATAATGCTGCTGAAATTGGAGCTGATCTGAGAGGGACAAGACAGTCAATAACACCTACAGAAACGGCCAGAGCAGCAGCTAACTCCACTCAGCTTCCTACAGCTCGTGTAATAAGTCTGGGACAGGAACTCAGCCAGGAGAAACAGATGGGGATTCCCTGCCTTCCACACCGGACTGTCACAGGCCAGGACTAGAGATGGGGAAACTGAGGCACGGGCCTGTTCTAAAGCTCCCAGGGCTGAGCCACCAGATGCTTATCTCCTAAAAGCAAAGCTGATCCTCTGCCATGGCAGCACTGTAGCCAGACTGACCCTGAACCAGGTCCCCGCTACTGGCCTTTCCACCTCCCTCTTCCTTTGCCCACATGGGTGAGCCCTGGTGCTCCGGCACGGGGCCGTCTGAACCCTGCCGAGGGGACGGATGCAGGGTCTAGCTGCAGGTAGGGGGACTCAGCCCGCCACCCTCGGACCCATCCGACAGCGAGGGCCCTGGTCGCAGGGTCACCTGCCCAGCCCTGCCCATGCGCTCCCCCCTTCCCGGCACAACCTGGGCTCACCTTGGCAGGGTTGAAGTTGACGTTCTTGGCACTGCCATGCTCATCGCCAGACACGGCCGGCTGGTTGTTGAAGCCCTGCTTCACGTTCAGGGCCGTCAGCTCATCCTGGGGGATAAGGCAGTGTTGCAGACTGACACAGCCATGGGCCTGCATGGCTCTCCCGGCGCGGGGCGTGACCCCCACCACTCCCAGCGACCGTGGCACAACTCCCCCTATGGCCCCAGACACAGGGCACTGCCCCA